CACGTTTCATAGTTCGCGACTCCGGAAGATTAGGATAGTACGCGACAATGAAAAACATATGTATTGACGGCGAGATTAGGATAGTAGTAGATTAGGATAGTGCGCTGACAAGATTAGATATGTATTGATCTATTCGCTTGAAGTCGCCCAATCTACTACTCTCCAGCGATTTCAATCGATACGTATCCAATCTTGTCAGCGCAATCTCCTACTCTACTACTATCCTAATCTCCCGAGTCGCGAACTATGAACGCGGCCTTAGATAGCAACTGAGCGATCATCCCGCGCTGATCGATTGCAGCACTTGGCAAAATGCCACCTCAATCAGCGCGCGATCACAAGCATGATCGCGTTCACTCTCCAAACGTACGTATCTATGCTCTATTGCAACACAGCATTCATGGTTAGTGTAAAAAAAACGACAAAATAAATTCCAAACAAGTAGTCTAAGGTTGAGCCATGCACTTCCTTACAACCCAACAAATTTCGACGTGGTTAAAGCTACTCTTTTGTTTCCATGAATGCAGTGCATGCTATGCATGAATGAAAATAATCAATTTTACTAGCTCATATTGTGAGTAAGGAGTATAAAGCTGGTCATAATGTGCTGCAAGTTTCTTAGTACATGATTATTGCTCAGTGAACCTTACTACGCATACCTAAACTAATGGTGACGATGACGGCGAAAATGGCACATCTTAGCAATCAGACGGTGAATAGGCGTGGAAAAAAGAAGAAAAAAGGGCAACAGAAAATGCAAATAGCGGATTTCACATGGTGCATGATTCTAGCGGACAAAAGAGTCATTCTAATCCCAAGGAACATGAAAACTTGTTACAATGTAAAGACGAATCTCACACAAAGGAAGCATAGCCATGGGAAATGTGAAGATAAATGGGAATATTTTGCAAATGCGAAAAACAATTTCAAGAACTCATCTCAGAGGAACCAAAACTTGCACATAAGCAATCGGAAACAGACCGTTCTTCCCATTCAATCGGCCTTCAAACCAATTTTCATCCACCTGCGCAACGAGCTCTACTACTTGACCTTCTTTGAGATTAAGCTGAAAAGAATAACTTAATTTTAATTGAAATAAAACCGGAGCAAGGGAAAGCAAAACCAAATCTTTTTCTTATTTTAGCACTCACCTCTCCTTCGTTTTGAGCATCGAAATCAAACATGGCTCTTGCTGATGGTTTCTGTTGTTGTTGCTGTTGTTGCTGCTGCGGCGCTGGTGCTGTAGGATATGCAACAGACGCCTGGAAGCCTCCACCATTTGAGTAAGGTGGTGGTTGCTCAAATCCACTGTGCGACTGGCCACCAATTGAACCATCCGCAGGCGATCTGAAAGTGTGCTAGCTAAGGCCGATGTCAGACTTTGCGAATCGCGCGATTCGCTACTAGCGATTCGCAGCGGTCGCGTTGCGGTACCAGCCAATTGAGTGATTCACTGGCCGCGACGCGACCGCAGACGCTAGCGAATCGCGCGATTCGCAAAGTCTGACATCGGCCTAATTTTTACTCCTTTCACTGTAGGCTTACTGCGGCATGTAATGGTTCAGCAAGGAATACTCTCGCTAACCTTTAGACGAACGTTTATTAGGCGTTTCGATTACTTCGCCTTCTTCATGGTGCCTCAGCTAATGGTCAGCCCACTCAAACACCTCAACAAAAAACCTGACTCTTTAAGGCAGAATTTATGATGGAAAAGCAACCCATTTCAAATTAAGTTGCGGCTCTGACAAAGGCCAAAGCCAAAACGTAAGCCTAATAAAAAGTCCAATTTGGAAAGGCTTGAAGAATCATTCCTACTCTGCGACCTTCGGTATGAGAATGGATATGGAAATAATAGATCGAAGTAAAAGAAATCGTGCTCCCAACAATGTCACTGTAATCACTACAAAAGACATATTCTTACGAAAAAAGAAGATTGAAACAACGTATATATCGACTACAGAGGATGAATGTCTTAAAAACGAGATCTTTACCTGGAACGGGGTGTTCTGTTGGTGAGCACTGGCTGAGGGTGGTGCTCCGCTCGAGGACGACAACTCGCTCTTTCACTCTACCCAATTGATTATTACTTGTTACTTTCAAGAGTACCATTACGGAGTAGATAACTCTTGAAAAACGTGATCACGTAATCGAAGTTGGTTAAGCAAAAAATAAATAAAAAAAGGAAACCACTATTGAAACCACACCTTGCGGCAAGTTGTGCTTGCAACGCTTCAAGTACTTGCGTGGTTTGCCGGTGAAAATCCAGTTGAGCATCAACAAGAGCTCGCAGCTGAGAAACTTGTTCCACCTGGAACTTACACTCAGGCAGTAAATTTAATTCCTTGTCAAATCAACAAATACAAGCTAACATCGTTGCTCAACACATTGAACATGGCCATTTCGGCAAGCCGTTTGGATTCCTCCAGTTTTTCCTCAGCCTGGATTAGCTCTTCATCTGAAATCAAAAAGTTCAACTTACTGCGTATTGATGGTTTTTTGCGCTTGCTAGCGCGTCCTGAGGCAAAGTACTCACAAAGTGCTCCCGCATGCACTGCACGCGTGCATCACGTGGCGCCCTTAGCCATATCCTTTTTTACCAGTACCAACTTCCTAATTGCCACGATTATCTCATTCACTTGATAAGTGCCTTTCACGATTATTCGCTTATCAAAAATATGGCTACCAGTTGTAAACAAACGGTTTTTTAACAGTGATTTCGATCAGCTCACACTTGAAAATGAAGATGATGGAGAAGGCTGCTTCACTACCTCACAGTACTGTTTAACATAATTTTTGAGCAGCAGTGACAATGACCGAGAAAATACTTCACTCTTTTTGCCCTGCAATGTGCCTTCAGAATGGAGAATGTTTGATAACACCACTTGCCGTACCTGTCCTCATTGCTTTCCCAGGTCTGAACGACCACAAACAAGGTAGTTTAATAGCTGATGGGAAAATACGCTCGTAAACTTTCCGAAGAAATCTTAGCAGTCTTGCTGCCCTGGACAATATTTCAGTGCTCAGCATCTTAATCAAGAGGAAAAAGCTAGCTCTTCAGGACTAACTAAATCACGCAGTCCCCCTTCCGAAACTCCTCCTGTTAACATTCCACCGATCCATTACCCATGCTCCAATATTTCACATACGGCTGCCTCGCCATACCGCAAGCTCCAAAGCGAGTTAATTGACTGCGTTAATGCTGAGCTCTTTTTTATGGAAATGAAGCAAAAAATGCTCACCTCTTCTCTGTTGCCGTTTTTTACAATCGTAATCAAGACGACGCCCTTTCAGCTTCGTACGGTGATGCTGGAAAATGTCATGGAATAGTTATTCGCTACGAGAAATGATGATAATTCATATCCACCCAAAATTCTCAACTCTCTCAATTTGTACAAAGACTTTGTTCCACTTAAATTGAACAGAGATAGAGATTTCCATATTGTGCAAAGCCCTCATTTCGAACTGAATATTCTGAAAAACGGAGGGGTGAAAACTCCGTTCAAAAACCCAAGAAACTAAGGTGCTAACTTAGTTGGGGGAAACCCGCGGTGGCGCCGCGCTCTGTTCGTCTGCTCCTCTAAGGCTTAGTCCAAGGGCAGTCACTATTTCGTCGCCATGTGCATTTCGAAGTACGGCCGCCACATTGGTGAGGAGCAGATCGGACAGAAGCCCGGCGCTACCACGTTCCCCACCTCCCCCCCCCCCGCCGAATAAGTTAGCACCGAAACTAAATGCCTCAGAAAAAAAGAATTGCACGGCTACATTTCAATGCTTGATATAAATTTAATTCCTACTCCGCCGTACAACTTATGCTTTTTGAGGCACTTTTTGATTCTGATAAGGTTTCAAATGTTTTTGATGTCGTTTTTGTTTGTAAAACGTTCCAAGACGGAAGTACAGAACTACAAAGTAACTTTAAAAGGGCATCTTCCTCCGCGAAAATGTTCAAGAAAGGACAATGGCAAGAAAGGAAAGGACTCCTCACGACAATTTACATCGAAAAATTTACAGTAATCAGTTAACCAGTCAGACAGGTAACAGAGCAAGTCATGACGAACGAACAAAACGACCACACTCAGAGCTCAAAAACCCCACAAAAATTATTTACTCAAAAACTTTCTTACTTACATTAACGTCCTTCAACTCATTATTCTGCAGATGAGTTAATGGATCAATGAAATTTTGCTTCACATTCTCCTCCATTTGATATTTGATGTCGGCCATATGGCGGTAAGCTTCGGCTGCCTCGAGTAGTGCCTAAAAAGTGCTATACAGTCAGCAAAATTCCATTCATGAAAAATAGAATACCAACCTTTCCAAGATCACTCGAGTCGCCTAACGCAGTTCCATACTTATACATTGTATCAGCCAACATCCCTTCCGTTTGTGGGTAAGGCGACGTCTTCACAGTACCACGAACCTTCGAGATAGCACCCATGGTGGCCATTTTTGCCCGAGTGGCTGGAAATATCAACCTATTGAAGCATGAAAAAGGAGGACCACTACAGTGGTAAGTACAGCAAGCGTGCGAAGAATCAGAAACGAAATGAGGGGCATACCTGGGTTGGGTTGCAGATATTCATTTGTCCCAGCTACAAGAGCACTGATAAGCTCGTACGTTGTATCAATATGCTAAACATTCTAATATTGCTAACAAGAAAAATCGAGAACTACCTCAATCTACCTTCTCCATCTCGTTGTACTGCTCATCGAGTTTCGTAGGCTCAGCAGCACCCATGGTCTCGGACAAATACTGAAAACCTTCCCTTTAATACCAAGATAATGTAGAAAAAGGTTAAGATGATGAACTTCTGCGTACCTGGTTGGCCTTGTTGAACTGTTTACGAAGGCCTGACAGCGACATGACTGGATTGTGTCTGTAACCTCGACCAAACCTCGACTGTAAAATGTAAAGCATTAACGAGGAGCAAAAAGAAATCGAACCAGAGATGGCGATAACACATAGAAATCAATACGATAACTGGAATGAACGACACAAAAATGTCATTGTCGCACTATTTACCCTCTACTGACTAGCCCTAATCCTCGCAACAGTCAAAAATTGGCTTAAAAGAGTAACAGGAAGTCCTCGGAATAGTTTGGGCCTCCTTTGAGCACGGAACCCACTAGGGTATCAGACTTTGCGACTTCGAGAATCGCTAGCCGAATTCGACGACGAGCGCTAAAAACTAATCGTTAAGCGATTACGGATCGCTAGCCGTCGCATTGCTGCAACCCGCCGCGCATCGTACACCAGTGTTCTGATCTACTAGCGAATCGCGTTTGCTAGCGATTGGTCGCTAAGTCTGACACTCTGCCTCACAATCTCAAAAGTGTGACGAGAAAGGCGTAAAGGCTGAGGTGCGCCATAGTTGTCAGGGCTCAAAACAAATTGTATTCCAAAATCGTTACAAAGCTTTTAATAAGGGTAGTGCGCGGCACAGATCCACTACCGAAGCCAATTTTCCACCAAACCTCGTAATTGCTTTTTGAAGAAAACATTTGCAAAGGAGAACAACAGCCTAAAGAGGACGTGCCGGCGTCAAAAATGCAGGCGGGACACGTTTTCGTGCCAAAGGAATGTGATATTCGTAGTTGGAAGGTCAAATCACGTCAAAATCAAGTTTGTAGCAAATGTGGTGGCTTCCGCTGTTTTGGCGACAGAATGACGCAGAGGTCAGGCGTTTTCGGGCCAAACAAACATGATACTCGCGCGCAGCGAAATATCCTCAAACTTTCCTTGGAAACATATTCCTAGGCAAGCCCATCGCTAGGGCATACTTCGAAAAAATATTCAAGTCTAAACTAGAGTGGAGCAGTGAAGGCTAAAGTTATTGTTTCAATTGAGAACGAGGGTCACTGAGGGCTCCTCTGCAGTGGCAAGCAATAAAGAAGGATGCAAAAAACGAGCAGAATTCAAACAGTACACCTAACCGAACGAGACAATCTTAGCCTAGCAGTTAAACTTGCACATTAGGAAAGACAGCCAGGGGTATGTTGAAATTTGACGCAATTTCTAATAACGACAGATTTGCACGTTCACTGAAGTCATCCAGTAGCAAAGTTTTTTGATCCATGGTCAAGTTTCAGTGTTTTCCAGAGCCATTTCATATATTCTATTGACAGAAGCTAACACGCTGTATATAAGCTTGTTTTGCAGCTCCCGAGAAGCTCTGCGAGCCTCATTTCTTTCTTCAACGGCAGCCATTATTCCAGATGCTTGAAGCGCTGTTGACAGCTCATCACTGCGCTACGCGACGTAATGGTTGAAGTAGATGGCAGTCGCGTAGCGACTGTGGAGATCTCTCACTCTATATTCATGAAATTGTACAAAAGAAATTATTTCAAAATAGTGCTTTTCACCGATTTCATGACAACATGCCGGAAAATTTTCTCAAAAAAGAAACCGAAAACGAATCGCAAAAGCTCATACTTGATTAAAGCAGGAGAAGTATGAGCAGTTAATAAGCCATATGACACATTGCTTAAATACTACAATAAAAATCGAGTAATAATGTGCATGTAATAATCACGGTAGCCGAGACTAATGTAATATGATACTGCCAATTACATATGGAATTGCACATGCACAGCAATCAAAGACAAGTGTAAGTTTCCATATATAAGTGGAACGAGTTCCACTTTCTAGCTATTATGATTTGCTTTTCCTCTGAAAACACTTCACGAAGTTATTCGCTCGCAAAAAGCTGCAAAAATAGCAAAAAAAAAAGAAAAAAAAGACGCTGTCTAGGAAAACTTAAGGGGTAAGTGCAGTTTTCATAGGAAAATGATTAAAAAATAGAAATAAACGTCGAGGCAAGTTACCGAACCATGCTTTCGATGAAGTGCTGAAGCAATCTGCTAGCTTATAAATATACACTTGAAAAAAAATTACAAACG